TAAGAGCAAAATTTTCAAGTTGCTTCAATAACGTCACAATTACGTAACATATTATAATGGAACTCCCGATGTCGCACACGTGTGTGGATAACATAGAGACAAGAATATGTCACTACTTAATCCAAAATGAAAATGTTTGTCATAACATGTAACCAACTATAACAAGAAACATATATGCAAATAACACACATACAATTTAACTCAAGCACGAATGCAAGAAAGAAACTTAATAAATAAAACACATGCTTACACAACTAGAACAAACTTATGAAAATGTGAAAGAATTAATACATGAAGTTCATTATAAACATATACATTGAAAAACACACAATGGTCCTCAATCAAATTGTTTGGAAATGAATATTCATGGTTTTCATCATTTGAGAAAATATCAAGCACTTTTAACCAACAAATAACATGCATTAAGAAAAGTCTTACTTTCAAGAAGAAATTGAAACGATATTATCTCACTCTTTATGGAACAAAAGTTGCACTCACATGATATAAATACTTAAACAAAAAGTTAGTGTAAAAGTATAAAGTGCAAGCAACAAAGTAAAATTAGGCAACATTGAAGATATAAATGATCCCTAATTCCCCACGTATGTTGAAAAACGGTTCGGTTGCAAGATGTTTAGTGAAAATATCGGCAAGTTTATTTTTACTATCAACATGCTCAAATACAACATCCCATTTTTCAACATGATCGCGAAGGAAATAGTGACGTATCTCAATATGTTTAGTGCGAGAATGTAACACCGAATTATTGGTTAGATTAATGACACTAGTGTTGTCACACATGATAGGAATACGTGAAAGTTTAATATCAAAATCAAGTAATTGTTGCTTAAGCCACAAAATTTGGGTACAATAACTACCGACAGCCACGTATTCCGCCTCGGCCGTTGACAAAGCTACAAAAACTTGATTTTCATTATGCCAACTCACCAAGGATTTTGAAAACATGTGGCAAGTTCCACTAGTACTTTTCCTATCCGATTTGCAACCGAAAAAAATTAAAGTTGGAGTAAGAAACCATGCTACAATCGTTTCCCTTGGAATACTAAATCCCAAACTTAGATGTACCAATAAGGTATCTAAGAATATGCTTAACCGCTTTTAAGTGCGATTCCTTACGAGCCGATTAATATCGTGCACACATACAAACACTAAACATAATATTAGTCCTAGATGCAGTAAGATATAAAATAGGTCTAATCACACCTCTATATTTCTTGACCTTAGTATCCTTACCCTTTCCGTCTCTATCCAAATTTCCATTTGTTGCCATAGACGTGTCAATTTTATTTGCACCGTCTATTCCGAATTGTTTCAGTAATTCGAGACAATACTTGGTTTGACATACAAATGTTCCTTCCTTAAGTTTCTTAATTTGGAGTCCGAGAAAGTAGTTCAACTCTCCCATTAGACTCATTTCAAACTTTCCCTGCACAAGCTTAGAGAACTCCTTGACAAGATGCATGTTAGTTGATCCAAAAATGATATCATCAACATAAATTTGAACAAGTAAAATATGTTTACATTGATGTTTAATAAAGAGTGTAGTGTCTACCTTCCCTATAAAGTATCCTTGATCAAGCAAGAACTTGTTAAGACGGTCATACCATGCCCTCAGGGCTTGCTTAAGACCATACAAAATACATTTTAACTTAAAAACCTGATTAGGAAACTCATAATTTTCAAAATCGAGAGGTTGTCAAACATACACTTATTCATTTATGTATTCGTTAAGAAACTCACTTTTAACTTCCATTTGATATAGTTTAAAGTTCTTAGAGCATGGATATGCTAGTAAAAGGCATATAGCTCCGAGTCGGGCAACTAAAACATAAGTCTACTCATAATTAATGCCTTCCTCTTGGTTATACCCTTGATCCACTAGATGGGCCTTATTTCTTGTTATCACACCATGTTCGTCAAGTTTATTCATAAACACCCATCGAGTACCTATAACTTGATGATTTTGTGGATGGGGACAAGGTCCCAAGCGTCATTTCTTTCAAATTGATACAATTCTTCTTGCATGGCCATAAGCCAATACTCATCAAGTAAGGAATCCTTTGAGTTTTTAGGTTCAACTTGTGATACACACGCGAGGTGATAACAAAAATTAGTTATCTTAGAGCGCGTTGTTACCTCTTTGGTTATGTCACCAATAATGTTGTCAATTGGATGATCCTTGGAGGTTCTCAACTTCAATGGAAGACCATCATCTTCTTTTTGACTTTCATCATCATTCTTTTCTTGGTTGTCATCATCTTCCTTCTCAATATCCACCGCTTTAGGTTGATCATTTCCTTTTTCGGCTTCCTTGAGTATGTCTTCCGTAGATGCACCTACACCATGAAAAGAAATACCTTTCTCAACACTATTTGGGCAAGACTCATCAAAATTAACATGAACAAACTCTTTCAACAAAAAATAATCTTTTGTTATAAATTCTATATGCTTTACTAGATTGTGAGTATCCAAGAAATATACCTTCATTAGCTTTCGCGTCAAATTTCCCAAAATTATCTTTTCCATTATTTAAAACAAAATATTTACATCCAAAGACATGAACATGCGATACACTTAGTTTTCTACCTTTTAAAAGTTCATAAGAAATTTTGTCAAGTATAGGACGAATAAGTATCATATTCAAGACATAATATGTCGTGCTAATAACATCGTATGATAAGGTACAACTAAAGACCTGGTGCAATCCACATTTCAAAGTTCTACGACCAAGCTTTTTATATACGGTTTTAAATAGAATTTTATGGAGAAAACATATTAATAGCATTTTATGGATTAATCAGAGAAAATGAAATCAACTCTGATGATAGCACTTTATCCAAAACTTGCTGCAAAGAATAAAGTTAAAAGAAAGTGATACTATTAGTCCCACATCGGTTTGTATGAGAAAAATAATAGTGTTTATAAAGCAAACGCATGTGTGCAATATTAAAAGTCCTATAGATTAATTTATTTTTTATTTAATTTTTTTACTTTTTATATTAATTTTTTTACGTTTTTTTTTAAATTATTCTTATTAATATTTTTTATGAATTATTATTTTAAATTCACCAAAATATTACATTTGAGCCTATAAACATGTAGGAGAACCCTTTATGTGATTGAAGTTTTAGTTATGTTATGGAAATATTGAGAACTTTCTCTTTATTTGGTGTAGTTAAAAGGATATATCTTTTTTCTATTTTGCTAGCTTAGGTTTCTTGGTGTTTCTAATGAGAAATTTTAAATCTCTTTGCTTTTTGGTTAATGTTTATTCTCAGTGAACCTTACTGAATAAGAGCAATGTGGGGCGACCTTATGCTGCATAAGGGTCTTCTTGAAGGTGATGTGTAGTGTATTATGGGAGATTTTAATTTAATGTGTTGGAGAACCTTTGGCTTGTGAGATGATCACCTAAAATCATTTTATCACCTTATTGTGACATGTGAAATTGTGGTCACTTTGTGGTATTTAATTTTTAAGTGACTTGGGTGGCCTTTTGTTTTTCCTAGGGATACTCATCTCTTTTTGAAAATTTTTAAATCATTGTGGGGTTTGTATAGGTTTAGAAGTGGTCTAATTATAATTTAATATTTAGTAATGTGGTAATACATCTTAAAATTTCAAAATGATACTAATCTTTAAGATACCTTTCTAAATATGGGTTTGGTCTTAAATTGCGATCCGCAACCGCTTTTGCGGAGTTCCGTAAGATTGCGGATGCGTTTGTCTTCGCAATCACATCAAATCGTAATTGCGGTGTGATTTTAAAATTCCGCCTCCGCCTGTATAGAGAATTACATCAAACAATTTCAATCATGTATCTTTATCAAAAATAAAAATACTAGAATCATAAAACTCAATTTACTTCTTATGCAATGAAAAAACTTAACATTAAGTGTTTTTCAATTTTGTATTTAAAACACTTTTCTATAAAATTTATATCACAACGGCTGCAATACATATCACAACAATCACAATGACCACTTTTGCAACATCTACAACCACAACGGCATCTTCAACCGCAATTTAAAACTAAAAATATAAATATTTTATATTTTTATTTGTGTTTTGTATTTTTATGCTATAACCTTTTTGCGTCTTTTTTTAGAATTGAGATTTGATGCCGTCAGCAAATTTCCGTAGTCATTCAATCAGATTTTTCTAACCATCTCATAAAGTTTGGATGATCTTGATTAAAGATTGATATTTTAAAATCATAATAAAAAAATATTAATCTTCTTTTACTGAGTCACCCAATTTTGATTGAAGGATCCTAACTAGGTGAATTCAGAGATGAGTAACTTTATATAATAAATTTTTCTTTTAATTCTTTAAAAATATCTAAGTTATTAATTTGATTAATTTTTTCTTTAATATTATATTTATTAAAATAATAATCAAAACAACCATATTTAAAATATTTAACATCTTTATCTTTATTATAAGATTTTTTAAAATTTAATCTTCTGTCCAATTAAATTACAATACTATTAAAAAAGAAATTTTAGAAATTATTTTATGCATTACAAAATTTCTAGACAATTTATTTTTAAAACTTTTTATTTTAAAAATTGATCGTAAATCTGCACAAAAAAAATATTTTACAAAAGGATGTAAAAAAATAAGTATTAAAAAGTGAATAAAAAGAGTGTGTTTTAACACTTAATGCCAAATAATTCTAGAACTACATCAACATCTCCATGTTTTCACTATGTGTATATCAACCACATCATCTCTTAATGATATTAGGCCAGCTTCATATGCACCTAATATACCTTAACTTTATTTAAAATAAATAAATAAAACTCATTTAAAAAATAAAAGATTCAAAATCATGAGATAACACAAGGAACAAAACTGCATTTAATTAGTAAGATAAAACTTGGGAATAAAAATATAAAACCTCCTAATTTTGCCACTTAGCTTAGTAACAAAAAAAAAAATTTTGAACTTTTATTTATTTTTCTCAAATTTTGTTCCTAATTGTTTTCCCCTAATAACATCAACATCTGAAACTCATTTGGTCTACAAGGAACAGTTAATGCACCATTTCCCTTAAATCCATATTTTTCACCTGCTTGTTCCAATAATCTCACAAACATTGGATTTGTTAAAACTCTCAATGGCACAACAAATCTCTTTATTTCCTCTTCATCCTCAGCCATCACAACAAAATGACCTTTTTTCACATCCTTGGATTTATCGTCATTTCTTTCCATCAATAAACACTTTTGAACCTTTTTGAAGACATTATTCTTGAACTTCAACACTCCATCGACAACAACCTTTTTTATTTCTGTCATGTTTTATAGATATGAGTAAAACATGGACTTGCTTCATGTATATATTTGTAGTGTTCTTTGTTGCATAGAGAAACATAAATAATTTGAGTTGTAGAGATGAAGTTTTGCACACACCTAACATAAGAATTCCGAAAGTACATGATAACATGATAGCAATTCATGTATGTGTCTGGTGCAATGTTTTTGAACAAATTATTTTTGTTGACTTGAATTTTTTAAAGAACGTGTAATTTAACATGAAACATCTTTTGAATGTAGACTATGTCATGTCTTGTCATGCCTGCTCACAAATTGTTAGTAATAAATCTTTGGCAAAATTCCCTTTTTAGTCCTTTAAGTTTACCCCAAGGTCTATTTTGGTCCTTTATCTAAAAAAAGTGTCAAACTGGTCCTATAATTCTTTCAAAATGACCATAGGAGTCCTTTCCGTCTATTTTGGTCCTTTTTGGTTCAGCCCATCCTTCTTTATTTCAATTTGTAACTCCATTATCTTATGTTTCAGCCCATCCTCCCTTTCCTTTAGATGATGTATCTCCATCTTTGCTCCATCAAATTCATTTTGCAACTTCTCCAATGAACCAAAAATGACCAAAATGGACGGAAAGGACTCCTATGGTCCTTTTGAAAGAATTATAGGACCAGTTTGACACTTTTTTTAGATAAATGACCAAAATAGACCTTGGGGCAAACTTAAAGGACTAAAAAGGGTATTTTGTCTAAATCTTTTGGTAACTATTTTGAATCATAGACTAAAATCAAATAATGATGATAATATTAATCTGAGGTGGAGATATATTTTTTCTCGCACTTATTTTTTTTAACTAAAAGTAACATATATTCTTTTTGTAAATAATGAAACTTATTTTAAATTTTAATATTAAGTATGTGTTCTTTTTAATAAGAAAACACGAGAACTTAAAATGGAAAGACATATTTGATTTCGTGTTCATCTAATCTGTTAACTCTATGACTTGTAGCATCACTAATTAATGTGCAGGTAGTAGTAGTATGTGCTATGATCTACTCAATATATACTTTCTCTATGTAATCAATATAAACGTCAACCACGCAAATATAGGTGATATCGTTGCATATTACGTTGCTATGTTAAACATTAATAATATATGTAATGATGAAATATATCTAAATAATGGATGAAAGATAATATAATATAAAGTTTAATTAATTTAATGGAAATTAAATAAGCTAGTTAATAGAAAATTTGTTACGATAAAGTTTAATTAATAAGTTGATTAAAAAATGAAAATCAATTATTAACCATTTTTTAAAAAATAAAAACAATTTATTAAATGAAAAAAAAAAGTTAGATATGTCTAAACCTATCATTCAATTTTTTTTAAAAGTACAAATAAGAAGCGAATGTAAGTCACCTCGGTGCAGTACCATAGTCTTGTTTGATTTACGATTATGTTTTTCTTCAAACAAGGGTTTACACTACTACAGAAAATGTATTTAACAACGGTTAAGAAAGATATAAAGTTACGCATGACTAGGCGTTGTTATGTAGCGTGTAGTTGTATATGCGGTACTTACAATCACGATCCAGTGACTGTCGTAGTAAATTGGAAAACGCGCGCCTTATAACAACGATTATTCCTATTAATCGTTGTGGTATTGTATATGAATAAATGTCAAGTTTTCATACCAGAATCAACACTAAACCAATTTTGAATTGATATCAAAACTTGTATTACAAGTACACAATTCTATTAAGTACATTAAAATTTGAACAACTCAAGGTATGTAATCTTTATCTAACTTCCAAGAGAAAATAAAGCGTGTAGAATTAAAGAAACAATGATGAACAATTTTGGTTTTTAAACTTCCAAGAGAAGAAGATGAAGAATCAGAAGGAACAATATAAAAGCGGAAGAACCAAAACACAAAAACAACTTCATCCAAAGGAATCAACATGTATTATCCTGCTCAAGCCACCAACAATGCTGAGAATTCAAATGTTGTTGTAGAGGGTGATGTGGTACAAAACCAGCCTCAGAATCAGGATGTTATTGTAGAGGGTGTTGTGGTACAAAACCATCCTCAGATTCAAGATATTGCTGTAGAGGGTATTGTGTTTAGACTAATGAGAGCTCTTAGGGAGAGGAGAAGAAGAAGAAGAAGGTTGAGAAGGCAAATGGTGATTTTTTTCGATTCTGATGATGATGATGAGGCTGACTATGATTGATCTAACTTTATCTCAACAAGAGGATCTAGATTTGATTATGGTTTTTGATCACATTCACATCTATGAGTTGGTCCAGATTAGGGAACAATATCGTCCCATAGATGAGAAGGGCCAACACCTCTTCAAAGGCTTGTAAATCCAAAGTATCCCAAAAATAATGAGCTTTCCCAAACAAAAACTTGGCTAGAAACCCTTTGACACCACTTCTTGTTTCCCAATTTGCCATAATGTCGGACCGTTGTAAATACAGAGCTTGAGCAATCTCCTCAGGTTTTGGGTCTCTGTCTATACTATTGAAGGGTAATTGATTGAGAATAGCCACTCCCAATAACTGATAAAACTCTTTCATGGTAGGCACCAACTGGTAATCGGGAAATGTAAAGCAATAGTGTAAAGGGTAAAAGAACTGAAAGATAACTTTCACCGTGTCTTCATCAAGGCTTGAGGTGACCAAATTAAGGAGTCGACCATGTCTTTTGGTGAATGGAGAATTCTCAGGAAACCTTGATGCCAACTCTTTGAGTTAAGGAGGCACTCTTACGAGGTTGACTTGGATAGTATTTCTACGAGTGGGAGCCATGTCCTACAAAACAGACACAAAGATAAGTCCTAAAAATCCTTGAAATGGTTAGTGTAATATGCCATGTTATGATGTCATGATGTTATGTATATACAAGCACACAAACATATCCTTGGGTTTTAGTCTTGCATGAGTTCCATAGGTAAGTACCCTCTTGAAGTATAGTTGGTTCAACCTGTCCTAGAAAGTAACCGGGTTCTAGGGAATCTCAATATCACCGATCTTTCTTCATCGGACATTATTTAAGCGTAAACCTCTTTATTGGTGACCGAAATATCCAGGAAGTCCGATCTCAATGAGCATAGTATCGAGTATCAACCAACTTCGGACTGCACCAAAGCCAACTATCTCACTACTTCCTATTGGCAAAGTTTGTTCAATTAAAGGTTCTAAGGTCATTTGGTGCTTCATGATACCACACAACCACCCCGTATTCTCCTTGACTACTCAAGGGCTATCGGTACCAACAAATGTGTCACATCAACGTAGCTATCGTTTAAACCGTGTCGGTATACCCTGCACAGTTCCTACGATATATTTCTACTTACCTAAAAGGTGCCTCAGATTCGGGTGTAGGATCTTTTAGTAACAGCCCAAACAAGCCCTCAAAGATAAAGCAAACAAAACACACAATGTAAAGCAAATTTAAAATGATCTAACTCTAAGGTAACCCCACTTTATAAGTAACTCCCCAGCAGAGTCGCCAGTTCTGTAATACGGTGGGAGAACTGACTGTTATACTGATTTTTCATTTGTGTTCACAAATGTTGCGGTAAGCAAGATTCGCCACCGGCTTTTCTTTTATCCAACAAAGGAAAGGGTGAAAAGAACAAAAAAAGACCTTTCAAGAGTTTTATGAGTAAGGGGGTAGATTATGGAAAGGGAATGTGTTAGCACCCTTTCCATCTGTAGTCTTCTACGGACTCTTAGATGCTTAACTCATTTTGAAAATACCTTGTGCTTTGTGTGTTTTTGAAAAGTATTGTTTGAAATGCCAGTAGTAAGGCAACTTACTTTTTGATAATTCTTGTATCAGTCCTCAAGAGTGTTGATAAAGAATTTTGAAAGTGTTTTTTGAAAGAAGTTTATGTATGTGTAAAAGTTTGTTTTTGAGAAAGCATCTAGGAACTATCTACTTTTACTCGAAAGGTTGTTCTTTTCCTCTTTTCCTTTAGACAGTGCTATCCTACTATTAGTGAGTAGGTAGCCCTAATCGTTGGATGTTTGTGGGACATTTGAAGGGACGTTTTATAGTCACAAAGGAAACTGGGCAAGAAACGTTAGTGACTACCCTAGGGTTTTAAGATCATTTTTACCGAGGCAACGTCGAGAGGATCATCGAGGGACTTATGATCTTTTAAACCGGATGGTAGCCACTAAAATCTCTCACGTTTTGAGAGTTGTGACTGTTTTTCAAAGACAACCAAAGTGGTATACCCTAGAGGTGCGCATGTGTAACTGTGTTGTTTTCAGTTGTTTATCTTGTGTTAGGTTTACTAATGTTTGCTTTTAGTCTTGTCATACAATCCTATTAATCATACATCTAAGCAGTTAATAATGTACATGAAATATAAAGTGCAAAAATTAAATCCTACAATATTACATGGCTTCGGGGAGGGGGATTAATTACATGTTCAAACTTGGGGAAAATTTAAAAAGCAGCAAAGTAAAGTCCTAGTTAAGTCTATTACATTCCAGTAAGCAGATACAATAATATGCAAAAGTGCGACAGTAAAAGTAAACGCGCGAATTGAAAATATGTCTTAAATTCCTAAGAAAAATGAAATCTTTTTGTTTGCTTTTGACCTATGGAAAGAAATTTAATTTAAAAATCCTAAGTCTATTTATTTTTAAATCAAGGAAAGGATTAAAATAATTAATCGATTAATTTACAAAATTTTAATTGAGAAAATACTAACCTAATATTTTTTGTGATTTTTTTATCTGATTTTATAATGCTATATAAAAAACAATTAAAAACAAAATAAAATGGGCCAGGATGGTAAAGGGTAACAGGGGGTGTAAATTGGATTTTATTAGGCCCAAACCAGGGAGAAGCCCAGGCTACACTTGATCCTGTGTTATTGGCCCTTGAGAGTCTAACATGAAGCTGCGTATTTGGAGCGCTAGATCTAATGATACATAGATCCAATGGTGTTGACGACAAGGTGCATGTATGCGCGCTAGCCTTTGTTGCAATGGATTTGTAAAACA